ATTTTTTAAAGTTATAAAAGCAAATAATTATTATAAATATAATTACTCTTATCATTTTAAAATATTTATATATATATAAACTTAAAATGATAATAATATTAAATATATAAATAATTATCTATATATTCAGAATGAAATTAATCTTTAAGAAAAGTAATACAAAAGCTAATTTATTATATAAATAATATAAAATAAAGATCTAAACTAAAAAAAGATAATCTAATTAAAATTATTATATAAATAAAATTTTATAAAATATGATCTTTTTTTAAATTATTCAAATATTTTACTTCAAAAAAAACTAAAAAAAATTATTATATGATTATAATTATAATTAGTTAGCCTATTTTTATTAAAAAAAAATATTAATTAGAAAAAATAATTATTATAATGGAATATAAAGTAATTTTTTATCTTAAATTTCATTATAAACTTAATTATATAAAGAATTTTTAGGATGCTATTAAATAATATATATATATGTGAATTATAATTATACTTGAAAAGAATTATAAGAAATTATTTTAAAAGAATTAAATTTAATATCTTTATCAACTATCTGATATTTTATTAGAAAAATTTTTTGTTATATCATAAGAGTTTAATTAAAAAAGCTGTTGAATATGTAGCAAAAAAGTATTATTTATATAGAAGAGTTCTGGATTTAGTATTTAATAATATCAATATATATTAAATTAAATACATAATTTTTTACAAAGTTATATTAAATCAACTTTTTTTGTAAAATTTTAAAATTTAAGTTGAAATTTTTAAATTTAAAATATGTTATGTGATTAGTCAATTTTAGCTTATATGCATCATATATAATTTGGACTAGTTATAAAGAATGATTAAAATATAATTTTAATAATTTTTAAAATCTGAATAAGGGTAATGATTAGAGCAAAGAACAAAATTATATGTAAAATTACAGTTTCAATAATTTTAATTAGTATTCCAAGACAAATTTAGATATTGATTTTCTTTTTCATCCCTATTGAATATGGATCACATGATGGATTACGCTTTAACCAATTCCTAGTTATGGTTTTAAATTTTAATGTTATTAAGAATTTCTAATTAAGATCATGTTTCTTGACATGCTTCGGGTAATGTTGGTCGAAGCTATTTCAAAATCTTGCATGTTTGATGTTAGATCACGGTACGGAATCAAATTTCAAATCTCCTAATATGGGAATGCGCCGAGATTTTTTGCACGTGATTTTACCATCATATGATTCGTCTAAACGAGACGAATCGAATGGTAGTAAAGAACATACTTATGATTTATAGTGTCTTTGTTCCTGATATTTTCGAACTATGGTATGTATATATGTATAAATAATTTGTGTCCATTCTTAATTAAAGCTTGGAAAACTTTAAATAATAATGTAGGCCTCAGAACTTGATGAGATGCTGAAGCCACTTATTGCCAATCCGCACGTTTTAGGCGTGTTGGTCGTTAATAAAGAAGGTTCAGTAATTAAGACTACTTTTGATGCTGTGATAACAAAACAATATGCAGAAAAACTCTCAAAGTATTTAGAAATGTCACAAAACATGATTCAAGAGATTGATGAGCCTGATGCAGTGAGTCTTTTTTTAAGTTATTATGGGATGGGATGAATGAAAGGTCGAGTGTATGATGCAAATATAAAAACGAGATCTTTTGCTATAAGTCTATAATACATTTTGCCTTGATCATTAAAATTTATTCTTGTATCCCAATGTTATTAAAGATACAAAAGAACGAATTAACACTCCTTCGTATCAGAAGCAAAAAGTATGAGATTATACTTACACCTGGTAAGAATATACTATTAAATTTAGTTGAATTGTCTTGTTACTTTAGCTATTTATTAAACTACTATTATCTTTTTCTTCAAGATGTCACAGAACATAAATATATGTTAATGGTATTCCAGAACCCGGAAAGAAAGACTGATCCTAAAAACTAGTTTACTTTTAATATATATAATAAACATACAATGATCTTAACACAATGAAATTATCGGAAATATGTATTTTTATTAAAATTCATTATTTAATTATATCGATAGTCAATAAAATTTTTTTTATTAGGTATTAAGATGCGAGTTGAAAAATGTATAACTGCGCAAAAGCTCCGGCTTTCAAAGCACTGGCATTCGAGTTTTAACGTTCAAGGTCCTGGTATTCCAAGCACTGACGTCGTCTATGAGCACAAAAGATGTTTTTGTCTGGCGCAAACTATGCAATGTTCTTTTTCTATACGATATGAAACATTACCGAATTAATGTTTATAATCATTTTTTGATTTATTCACTTGGACAGTTATTGCTATACGTATGTATACGTAATAACAATTTATAAAAGATATTGAGTATTAAAAGAGTATAGCGTCAATGCCGCCTTCCTGAGCTTGTTCCTAAAAGTGTACGAAATTTTAGTTAAATATGTCATAATATGCCAATATCACTCATGCTTGCTAGCTAGCTTGCTTTACAAACCTTAACAAACATTTCAAAGTATGAGTAAATAATGGTGACAGCCAGTAATATCCCAGTACCGGATCCAAGAGCCCCTATTGAAAAAATCTCAATCAATATCTAGACTAATGATAATCGCGAATTAACGATTTCTAAGCTTACCGAGTAAATCAGCAAGAACGGATAAAGCTCCAATGCAAGCACCCCCAAAGGCAGCAGCAGTTGGAATCACACGTTTTAGTTCTTTGTACATTGAGGTTTCACGGTGACCAGCCATGACCATTCCCTGCTCTTTGAGTTGTTTAGCGACCTCGCGAGGAGACGAGCCTGAGACCTCAATCCATGTTTTGGAGAAAAGAGCACAGGCAGTCAACATGAATAAAATATATATCGAAGTATGTATTGGGTCTAAAAGAGCATCTGTAATATTTCTTGGGGGTGACATGAAATACGCTAGTCCACTAGAAGCAAACAATTGCGAACCTCCATCATGTGGCTAAAACAGAATAAAATCAAGAATTTCAGTATCATAGGAGAAAACTGTAGAACAATATACATAAAATATACGTACAGTCCATACACCAAGAAGACGAACGAGAAGGTTGTCCGGGAATCTGTTGTATAACATCTGCGAGATTAAGAATATATTGGAAGTAAGAGCGGATTGTAACATAATCGGCATGTTGGAGGTGTAGAATAGCTTGACCGGGTAGGTACCACGTTGACCACGATTTCTTTGTGATTTCACGGGAAGTTCAACACGGAAACCTTGAAGATAAATAACGATGCCAAATACCACTAAAGTGGCCAAAAGGTTCATCACGTTTGGCAAGTTGGAGCGATAGAAAGCTTCTTTCAGTGCGCGAGTTTTGTCACTTCGGGTAAATAAAAGATGGAACAATGCGATGATAGCGCCTTCGAATTCGGGGCCACGTCCAGTGTTTACGGTTGTCGGACTAAAAGCTTTCCAAACGATAGACTCACAGATGTTTGTAGCGATGAAAAGTGAAATCCCAGAACCAAGGCCATAACCTTTCTGTAATAATTCATCCAATAACATAGAAATAAGACCGGCGACAACCAGCTGAATGATCAACAATAGACAAACGCCAGCACCAATATCACTTGGATCCCCATACAAGCCAGTCATCACCGAAACAGTAGCCTGACCAAATGCAAATACCATAGCGAAAAGTTTCTGCGCACCACTAAACAGCGCGCGATCCTCTTTCACGCTAAAATCCACCTCGATAATATTAGCACCAGCTAATAGTTGCATGATCATGCCCGACGTGACGATTGGTGTGATACCAAGCTCCATCAGCGTGCCTCTATTGGAAGCAAGAATTACACGCAACCAATAGAGAGGATCGGACGAGTCAGAAGACATGATACCGTAGAGTGGGATTTGTGAGCACACCAAGAAAATAAAAAGTGTTACAGCTGTCCATAGAACTTTTTGTTTAAAAGGAACCTATTTTTTTGATTTTTTGAAAATTTAGGAAATCTAGCTTATGAGTTGTTGAAAATCAACAAAATAAGACGATGCCGTATAAGAAGCGTGTTTATGTTTTGGAGAAAATACCTTTCGATCGGGAGATGTAACTTCCGGAAGTATGGCCATAAACGGCCTGATGAGATGAAGAAATCGAACTATCGTTAAAAGAAAATATAAGTTTAATAAATCAAAAAGTCAAGGTAAATATGGATTTTTAAGAAAAAGTGCAATTTGGGCTGGACAACAAGCGTTAACTAAAACGTTGCCATCGCAGCTTTGGTTAAAGAAAATTTTTCTTTTCATATACATACAGCCCATGTTGTATTAAATCCAGTGAGAGGTGGCCGAAAAAATAAGACGAGAAAAAAAAATAAGCAACTCGGTAAGTTGGGTCAGGAAAAATTAATTTAGTTTGAAATAATTTCCCCAAGTTAATAAATATGAAATATTAAAAAGTCACCAATCAGAAAACTGAATTACCAACAAATAGATTACATCCACGACAAAAGTTTGCATGAACTTTGCACGTGGTGTCTTGTTTAATTCTCTTTGAGGCTATGCCATGAAAAAATTTTGTGCGAGATATTCACTATGTGAAATATGCAAATAACATAACCATTTGGCATTTTTTCTGTTTTTAAAATACATTGTTATTATGAGCATTATTTCTTTACGTAAAATAAATTTTGTACGAATTTACAAGAGCCTAACAACTCCATGTATATGGTCGAAGCAAAAATTTCATATAAAAAACGCGTCAATTTTAAGCCGCTCAGTTTCCAGCAAAAAATCACTAGTTCAAAAGCATAAAACCATTGAAACATTTCTCGCAAAAAAGGACCAGAACACAGAAGCAACAGTATATCACGGAACGTTATACGAATACGAGACGATTAAATGCCTTCGAGAAATATTTGGCATTGAAACGCGTCGATGTGGGGGGTCTAATGATCGAGGTATTGACTTTCGCGGTCGATGGACTCTTCCTGATAAAACTATATTCTTAATTGGACAATGTAAAAAAGTTATGGGTAAATGTGCGCCCAGACATGTTCGTGAATTAGAGGGATCGTTAAGTCACGAGTCGGCTCAAACATTGGGAATTATGTCGTCTAATGGCGGATTTACGCCCCAAGCCAAATTACAATTCACCATGTCACCATGGCCATTAGTATTGATGATGGTAAGTCAAGAAGGGGAATCATGTGATATGTTTTTGATGAATCAAACGGCTGAGGATCTTATGGACGGGTTTAAAGTGACAATGCATTATGAAGCTTATCCTAAAGTTGAAGGTGTCATGGTTAACCGCGCGATGTTAGTATATAAAGGAAAGCCCTTCGAACCAAAAAAAGTAGTAGATGAAAATATCGTAGCCAAATTTGTATAATCCTACAGGCGCGTCTGGAATCCTCTCACATGACTTGGGATTTATAACCAATCTAAAGTTTTATGAATTTTTGGGAAAAAACTATACATGTATTTTTTTACTTGAAATAAAAATTGTGTTATCAACATACAAAAAGTTTCCGCTAAAAAAAAAATGCCGACGAAATCAAAAAGAGCTCAGCTAGGGAAACCTTTGAATGCCAAAAAGAATGCAAAAAAGAATGCAGTCGCCGCCTCTAAAATAACTGAAGCAAAACCAAAAAAAGTGAAGTCTCTACAAGTTGGCAAGAAAGGAGTTAATAAAGCAATAAAAGAAGTTATAAGTAAAAAAAAGGTTGAAGAAGCGTTATTGGGGGAGAGTAGCGAAGAAGAGGAAAGTGAGGCGGAAGAGGAAGAAGAGGAGGAAATTGAGCACAAAAATATTTCGAGTAAAATTGAAAAGCTTTTTCTTGAACTATCGGCAGAAGAATCTAATGACTCTGATAACTCGGAAAATGCCGAAATAAGCTCGATAAAAGATAATAGTGATGAAGGGGATGAAATTTCTTTGGACAATTTGTCTGAAGAGGAATTACATGAGGATATAGTTCCTCAACAACGTATAACTATTAATAACAGGGTAATTTTAATTTTAATAACTTGACTATTAATTGTGACAATACTTATTAATTCAGATGCTCATGCTAAATCAAGGCAGTATTAACTCGAATATCCAATGAATTAAAACTCGATTTACCTTGGATCGAAACTCAAGTTATAACTTCGACAGAGCCGGTTATTATAAAAGATGTAAATAATGATATGGAACGAGAGCTTGCATTGTATTTATCCGATTTATTTATCTTATTTTTCGCTTTTTTTGTCGAGTAAATTGTAACATGAATTATAAACTCAATTCCCCTTGATTAGTTATAAACAAGCACTCGAATCTGCCAATGAAGGACGCACTCGAATACTTAAAGATGGGACACCTTTCTCTCGACCAGATGATTATTTCGCTGAAATGGTAAAATCAGATGAACACATGGCTAAGATTCGACAAAAACTACTGGATGAAACACATCGTATCAAAGCAGGCGAGGATGCGCGTCGTCAACGTGAATTGAAGAAGTTTGGTAAAAAGGTTCAAGTAGAAAAAATTCAAGAGCGACAAAAACAAAAAGTTCAAGAATTGGAAAAGATAAAGGCGATGAAAAAAAGTGAGCTTTTTCAAAGTTTGTGTGTTATGTGGAAGACATTTTTTTTCGATTTGCACTGACGCACTCATGTTTAGAGCGAAAGGGTATCGAGGATACTGCTCTTGATGATGATTTCGATATAGCGCTCGAAAAAGCTGCCATTGAAGATAAGCGACCGAATAAACGGCAGAAAACAACAACTATGCCGAATAAAAAGCGCGCCAAAAAAGTATGGGCAAATCGATTAATGAATATATTTTATTCTTTTTTTGCATGACAGAACTAACACTTTAAACAAATTAGGACGCAAAATATGGATTTGGAGGGAAGAAACGTCATTTAAAATCCAACACCGCGGATTCCTCAGGAGATATTGAAGATTTTAATCCGAAGAAAATGAAGGGTGGTTGGGGAGTAAGTTGATTTTCTACGTATGCCTCACACAATTTAAAATTTGTTATTATAGGGCAAATGTATTTAATGAAATTTATTTAATAGGCCTCAAAAGCAAAGCTAAAAAAGAGAATCGTCAAAACACGCCCTGGAAAGGCAAGAAGACAAGCGGCAAGAAATAAGAAAAGATGATTCAGCAAATTATTGTTACTCATTGACATCTTTGTATAAGTATTATATAATAATAGAAAATTAAAAAGCAAACCGAGTTAAATTAAGAGACTATAGCTTGCGTAGTATGCAGTTTAAGTTACACCCATGCGGATTAGTTCAAATTTTAGCCTTATCAGTTCTTGTTTTCAATTTATCCAAGAAAGCTGTTATAATTTCATTAAGCTTTTGTGGTTGTTCAATCATCATCCAATGTCCAGATTCCTCAACATGCTAAAAAAAATTTAACATTAGCATGACAGATAAAAAAAAAATAGTTAATAAAATGTAATAAATACCTCAATCACCAAATCCGAACAATATTTAGGCATATCTTTGGCAAATTCAGGTTTGAGGATATTGTCTTTACCGGCAGTAATCTTTGATGAAAAAGGTTAGTAATGTTGGCTGAGGATGAGTACGAATGTAGATTACGTTATTTACCATTAAAGAGGGGGTGTTTATTTCTCTTCGTAGACCTTATTTTATTAGATGATGTCAATTCATGAGATCGAAATTCAAAGCAATCATTTATTTTGCGTTATTAAATTATTTTATTATTACCTTTTTCATCTTGATAATTAACTTTTCTAGTTTTATACCAATTTAAAGCACCATGAAAGCCACGAGCTTTGTATTGTGCAATATAATAATCTAATTCCTGAACGAATCGTAAATATAATCGTAAGATAATAAATAATGTCACGAATACTCGAAAAAGATGTCAAGAACAAACCTTATCCGAGATAAATGCACTTTTCGGCGCCTTATTCAAAGATCCTAGGTATACTTTACCATCGAACAATTTAAAATATTCTTCTTTTTTACTGCTACGTATTAATGCTTTGAGCGCGGTTTCGACCTGAGATATTTTTTACGATGATATAATTATTTAAGACGCGTTTTATCACGCGATAAAGAAATGCAACAAAAGATAGCGATGTGACAAACATTACTGTCTAACTCGATCTCGGCTTTCGGATGCGAGAGATAGATTTGATATTGAAAAGATGGCATCTCTCGAGCTATATCTTCAACACTTAAGTAATGATCGCGCGGTGGGGTATAGAAGGTGCAAATGCTGTCATATCAAATATCGAAAAAAAATTAAATTGGGAATGTGTGTGCTATACATGAGCGCAATTATTATAATGAGAGATACCTTATTACAGCTCTCACACGTTCAGGGTGATACTGAGCCATACGCCAAACTACCATTCCACCCCTAAAAAACAATGAAATGAATAATCAAGCGCTCAGACATAATTATCAAATCATCTCTATATATACCAATCATGCCCACAATAGATAGCCGTTCGAATATTCAATTGTTCGGTCAATTCAACCAAGTCTTGACATATATTCTTAAAACCATACAGCTGTAAATTTTCTGGGGGACATCTTGGGGCATCCTATTAATATTTTAAAGAGTTTAATCAATTTTATTCCTTGCAACCACGTTAATGTATTATATATTCACCGTTTGACCAAAACCTCGAAGGTCAGGTACAATAACGCGATAGCCTTTCTTGACCAAGACTGGAATTTGGTAACGCCAGCCATACCACAAGTCTGGGAACCCATGGCAGAGGACTATTGCCTCGTTACGTTCTTCACCTTCGTCTACAAAGTCTTTTTAGGCAAAATAAGGTAAAGGTCAGACGTCAGGTTAGCAATAAACTTTCCAAAAAGGAATGCATGACATACGAAGGGTAATGCCATTAACTATCGAAAACTTATGACGAAATGAGTTTGGGTCGAGTGGGTCCATACGATAAAATTGAAGATTGGAAATATTACAGCATTGAGTGAAACAAAAAATTTTTATTCAATATACTGACATTTTAACAATTTATTAATGAAACGATAGATAATGCTTTAAACAGTTCTTCGATGACCTGATTCTGAACAATGTCACGCTTTGATCTTTTTTTTCCCCCGCGGCGTAATTTTTACCTCTACGAAAATGGTTAATTTCCGAATCAAAAATGCAAGATATAAATTATCGTCCAAATCAAGATCAAAACGAATGGCGTCATGATACTTTTGATTGTCACTTCAATGTTTAATCTGCCACAATAATTAATACAAGGCCGAAACTTGATGATCGATAATTGAGATCATGCATGTCTCAATTCTTTGATAACGACATGGGTAAAAGAAAAATGAAAAACTGATGAGCGAGGGGAACACTATACAATTAACCTATTCAATCCAATTCAATACGCATGAAGAATCATAATGATTTTTAATGAATATAGATACCTTCATTGTTTCTTTAGTCTTTCATCACCTTTAATTTTTATCCCTGCTAATTCTTTATTTCCTTGATCCTCCCCTAATTTTTCTGATCGCATTAATTAATTTCTTTGTTCCCCATCAATGTTTTTTTTGGGTGTATTTTTCAATTCCATATTTTCGTATTGGACTGTTTTTAACGTTCATTTCTTTATCAAATGTTTGCTCAATAAGTAAACAATGTCCTGGTTAGAATTCTTATTAAATTGTGCTCGTAAGATTTGAGATAGTTTAATGTTCTCTTTAACTTCAATCTATATAAGTTTGGGTTTTAAAGTTTATTTTTGATTTGATTATAATCTTTTCTTTCGTCAAATGAATGAGCCTTGCATAGTTTGCCCAAGATTAAGCTTCTTCGCTTTCGTCAAATGAATGAGCTTTGCATAGTTTGCGCAAGGTTAAGCTTCTTCTTCTTCTTCTTCGATACTCGTGAGACTTTGTGCTCAAAGAAAAGACGACATTAAATGCTTGAATAAAAAAATATTTTGTTGAAAAACTAGTCATATTTTTAAAATGGATCGTCATATTTATATATAAACATGAATACATGTGATCAGATCAATTTAAACAACCCATTGTTTCACACTGCAAATTTTGAACTTACGAGAACAAAAGACATGAATGAAGACTTTCAACCACCCTTTTCCTCGCAAAACTACACAAACAATAACAACAACAGCAACAACCAATCACTTCAAACAACTTATGATCCGCAACTTCGTTCGCTTAGTACCTGGGGTGCATCAGAACCATCGCAAACTCATTCACAGTCGTTGAATAGCCCTGGAAACTACACATTACAAACAACCACCACACCTAATCCTATGGGACAACAGCAACACGTAAATGATAACCAGTATATGAGCGGTGCGGCTCAAGCTTCTATTAGCGGCAATACTATGACTACCATGCCTGTTTCCGTGAAGATTTCCGATGTAAATGGAGGCACTAATAGTAGTCCCGGTGATAGTAAAGGAGGCGGCGGACAGACACGTTCAATGAACGGGGCCCCTATGTTTTTTCCTGCAGGCAATTATCTTAATATTTTTCATCGAATTGATGTTTTCTCGATGAATGAATTTAACTTAATAATTTAATACGTTTACCATCATCAATTATTACAGAGTATACACAGAAATGCGTTCAAGCGGTATATGTTCATAAAAAATATGACTTTTGTATGTCTGTACTACTAGTAGTTTATTTATAAAAAAGAAATTATTCGGTGTGTGTGCGCGCGTGTGAGCACGTGTTCAAAACCATAAAAAGACATCGAATTTATTATCTTTATCATTATATTTTGAGAAGACGATATTTACTTTGAAGAAAATAATGAGAGAAGATACCAACTATTTTGAGTCGAATACTACCAATTATCTGTTCTCATCATTTTTTTTTCGTATTACTTTCGATAGATACTTGATGTGAACGTAGAACTAATTCGAGTATGCATTGACTATGGTACAAAAGGATGGATGAATGCTCAAGAGATGAATGCGTAAGTGATTAGAGATGTTTCATAGTCTGAAATTTATTCTCTAATAGTAATTACCCTTTCTTTACCTATTCTATCATGTATAGTTATAAAATGCGTCTTCAGTCGAATCTTAGTTATCTTGCCACGGTAGCTGATCAATACACCAATCCACAAGGGGTATTTATAGAAATAAAAAATTTTTTTAAGATAATTATCATGAAATGCTAATGTTGTGCTGTTTAGGAAATAAAGCAAAAGATGATGCCGGATTTTTCTCCATTACCGCCACATCGATTACACTATCACCAAAAGATAAATCATCTTATTCAACGTGCTTCTCAAATATTTGCTGCTTCGTATCACAATCACGCACAACCGTTACTTGGTCGATCAGCAGCGGCTGCCGCCGCCGGTGACATTGTCAAGAATGAGAATGGCGTCGTTAATAATAATTCTGTCATGAACGCCAATGCCAATGTTAGCAATAATAAAATTAATGATAATAATATCAATGACATTGTTAATAATCATAATAATATTAGTAGTAGTAATAACAGCAACACTACTAATAATATTAACAACAACAACAACAGCAGCAGCAGCAGCAACAATAATAACAATGATAATAACAATGATAACAACAGCAGCAACAATAATAATAATGACAACCATAGCAACAACAATAGTAGTAACAATAATAACAATAATAATAATGATGATGACAGCAGTAACAACAACAACAACAACAACAACAATAGTAGTAATAATGATACCAATAATAATGTTTCAGTTACAACTAGTGCTATGAACAATAAAGCTTTAGCAAGTTCAAATATTAATGTTTCAGATTTGAACTCATCATCAATTCGACCATATAAATTGGCATCTTCTAATGGAATAATAGGTGGAATGTTAACGAATCAACAATTTCAGCAATCACAGCAACAGCAGCCACATCCTCACCAAAATAATCAGATCCAAGCCTCCCAACAGTTTCAACAAGTTCAACAAGCCTATCTTAAGCAGCAACAGCTGCAACTACAGGCACAGAATCGTCAGTCGTTACAACAACAAGGAGCTCAGATGTCCACCCAGCAACAGCCACAACAAAAAAAAGGTACTCCACGACTGCATCCTCAATCACTGCAAAAAGCACATCAATCACCACAACTACAACAGCAACATGTCAATACGCCACAATCTACTCATCAAACTCAACAAATGCATCAATCGCCACAACAAACTGCTCAATCATCACAACAGCAAACGCAGCAACAACAGCAACAACAACAACAATTGCTCACAGCATCACAACAACAACAAATAATACCGTCTTTAGTAATGTCATCAAATTATCAACAACAACAACAACAACAACAACAACAGCAACAGCAACAGCAACAACAACCACCACAACAAAACATTATATCAGATTATTCTGGAATGTCGACAATAACAACAGCAAACACAACACAAACACCAGCACAACATCAAGAACATTCTTATCAAGTTTTACCTCCATTAACAGGAATAGGAGGTATCACTTCTATTAATAACAATAATGTCGGTAATAATAATAATAATAGTAGTAGTACTAATAATAATAGCAACAACAACAACAACAACAACAACAACAACAATAACAACAACAACAACAACAACAACAACAACAATAATAATAACAACAACAACAACAATAATAATGTTAATGGTGGTGGCGGAGGTGGTGATATTCAACAATTATCGACAGGACTGCCTTCAATGCTTGGCATCAATGATCAGTACATAATTGGCAATGGAACAACAGGTGGAAGTAGCGGCGGAATCACGACACAACAATTGCAACAAATGCAACATCTGGGATATGGAGGCTATCCAGGAACCAATGGAACTGTTATGACAGCAGGCAACGGATATTTAAATCCATATAATATGATAAGATATACGAATGGCAATAATGGATTAGTGGGCGGCAATGGAATAATCCAAACTAATGGATTGCCAACGTATCGAGGCAACAACGGACTAATATCTAATACGAATAATAATAATCATAGTAATGGGAGTAATAATAACGGCAATGTCCGAATGTCTAGTAATGGCATGCAAGGTAATTTAGACAATAACAGTATTTAGAAAGAGATTAAACATTCTCGTAATCACGTATAATTTATCTAGCCTTTTAAACTTTTTTAATTCCGAGAAAATGAATCGATCATCGAATCACTATATTATAATATAATATAATATAATAAAAATAATAATAATAGCACATTATTTTCATTCAACCATCAAGAATAAATACAAAATCCTATCATTTATAATCTCATATAGTATATGCAGCGTTGTCATGAAGCACACGGACAGTTCTGGGAGTGCCGACCTAAGTTGAGATCAAATTGTCCCGTGTCGGTAGTACATTGATAGATTGGCAAAATCACGTGTTTTCTTACGCTAGAGTTTGAAAGTGGTACACGTATTACGTAAAGAAACCTTTTTTGCTGTAATTTGAATTGGGAATTACCATCGCTATTGAAACCTTTATAGCAATGGTTAACAATTGCTGGGAATGTGCGAAACTAAATGTTGAAATTTGCCCCTATGATCTACAAGAAGGACAGACTACAGGCAGTCAAAAAATTGACGATTTCATAAGAGATCATCAAGCCGAGTATGCCGGTCCGGGAGAATGTCATTTACAATGGATTAATTATGATGAGTTTGAAGATATTAAACAAATTGGGAGGGCGGATTCGGTAAAATTTATTCTGCAAATTGGATTAACGGTCGGCCATCTTATGATATCATGCACGAACGATTGCCAATTAAGGTTGCATTAATAAGAATTACTTCGTTCGGATGAGAAAGCTACTGAAAAACTTATTCAAGAGGTAAATTTAGAAATGATAACGATAATACTTAAAAACCAATTATTTAATTGCGATCGTTTATTTAGATGAAAAATCACCTATTAATTTTCCGATGTTCTCGCCAAATACCTCTATTTTCTTTGGTGTATCCCGCAACCCAGATACATCAAGTTTTATTATGGTAACTTAGCTTTCGTGTACAAGTGAGCGGGATCAACATCGCAAGCGATATACGATAGCCTGTTATTCTCCCAAAGACACGTGTGACTTTATACAAAATATGTTCAAATTAACTCAATATATTTTTTACGTTTCGAATGTGTTCAGTTGCTTTCTTAATTAATGATTTTTTCTGTAATTGTTTATCTTTGTTTCTTTTATAATTGTAGAAAAAAATTAAGCTGTGTTAATAAAATTTTATGCCTGAAATATATTTGTGACATATCTCAGTATGTCAAAAATTCGAACCAGCTGTTTTTTTCAATTCAAAATTAACTTTAAGACTTCAAACTGCGACAGGAAATATATTCCGTTGTTAAAATTTTAGAGACTGCCATTTATCTCGATATTAAATTTTTAAAAACGAGGAAAACTTTGTGCATTATGTCTAGTCGAGATTCCGAAGGTCAAAAATTACGAATACTACTACTATTTAGGCAGCTCCGATGTCAAAAAAAAAAAAAATCAAACGCATAATATCCGCCTTGCCTTTGTCTACGCAACTTTCCTTTCAATTTATATGTGATAAAGGTGACAAAATTCAGTAACAACATGACAATTGAATTTCCATCAATAACATTTTCTTACAAACGGCATTTTTAATATATCAAATGATATATCGAAATTAGGCAAATAGAAATCACGAAAGAATGTCATGTGCTTCATTTGCGATTTCTCTATCGATACTTCTATCCATAACGCAATCAAATTTGTGCTTTAAAACTTTTATTCTCGCTCTTAACCATAGAAAAAAAAAGATCAGTATTTTTCTCTGGCAAATTTTAAACTTCAATATAATCCTTATTTTTTTATTTAAAAAAAAATACAACCAATTCCAGGGTAGTTTTAAATTCCTATTACTAAATAATGCAAAGGCTTTGAGATTAAATTAAGTGGCACAAAGTATTACAAGGGAAGGTATTATAGATGGTGCTTTAAGATAGAACTAGAACTATAACTGCTATATTAACTATTAGTACTATCACCGCACGGCAAAACAGAACAACTAGCATGTTTTTATCATTACTACTCACCAATAATAATTCGATCCAAAACGCGAGAGTGCGGTAAAAATTTAAACTCTTTGCCAAGCAGAGCGCTGTGATGAACGTTAAGACAAGCTACATTGTTTCTTTATCCTCATGCTGTTAATGTCTAAATTTTTTATCAAGTAGGAGAAAACGAAGATGGGTTTTATGAATAAAACGGACCTTTTGGCGCTTGTAGTTAGTTTAAACATGTTACTTTGCCTTATCGTGATGACAGGTGTAGATAAGTATGCTAGTATAAATTATAACTAACAATGACACAGGGGGCACCGTAATTAGCAACCGCGTATTTTACAAAATCAATGCCTTTATCATTGGTCAGCTTTCTAAAATATAATAGTTGCGACGACCCTGCATCACCAAACATCAACAACCATGAATGATGAATGACACGTTCACTTGACAACTACCGATTCATCAATGATATGCGAATGAGCATAATTTGTTAGATAAAAAGTGATGATGGGAATCAAAAACTAAAGAGTAAAAAAAAACCACCAAAAGTAATGTTCGAGTTCCCTCTCCATTTCTTTTCCTTCTTGTTGATTCTCCTCTTTCCTATATTATTCTTATTATTATTATCATTATTATCATTATAAACAGATACTTTGCAAAACAAAATTGACATCAAATTGGAGTGTGACTCAACAGTTCACACGATCCAAAGATATATATATATCGTATGATAAATGTGAGCATAATATAATATATTTGAACTTGCCTATTTATCAAAGTTTATTATATTAGTTTCACGATAAATAAATTAACATATTATAATAAATAAAGATAAAATTAAATACTCTCTTTCTCCTCACACTATAATAATAATATAATTATTTTTTTTCCAGTTCTATATATGTATAAACCAAACATAATAATAATCTTTCTTCGATCTATTCTCATACACAGTAAATAATTCTCACAATACATAATAAAGTATATATAAGAAAAAAAAATAACGAATCATTATGTTCGTCGCGGCAAGAAGTAACACGAGACAACAACAACACCAACAACCACCACCACCATCATCACCATCGTCATCATCAATACCTCCCAGCCTCTACACCAATAGTAATATGACGATAGATCCGGATCTTTTCTTTCAACAGACTACACCAATATCACAATCTCAATTCCTACAATTACAACAACTGCAGAATCCATACCAACAACTTCAACAACCACAAATTGACACAGCAACAACAATTGAGAATAAAGTTCATCATCATTATCATGATACCAATAGTATTAATAATTTACAAGAGTACGAATACGAATACGAAGAAGAATATTTCGACGTCGAAGATAATTTATCCTGTGCATCGTCGTCAACCGCTATTGAATCAACATCACCACCACCAACCAATAATTTTCACCAGTATGATCATCAACAATCCGCAGCATACCATCGACAAGTAAAGCGACGACGACGACTGAACGAAGAAGAGACGAATATATTAATGGAAGTATTTCGGGATAATAATAAACCTGATCCTGCTACACGTTCACAACTGGCACAAAGATTGAATATGTCCTCACGTGCTATTCAAGTTTGGTTTCAGAATAGAAGAGCGAAAGTGAAACGGAATGCGAACGAATCAAAGAATGCAGCTGTTTCTTCCGTTCGACCAGTTGGGATGAGAAAGTTGACCTTGATTCCGGGATTTGTGGAAGATGAAGTGGATCAAAAGAATTACAATTATCTGTTTGAGGATAAAAAAGAGTTTTACATTGTTTCTCCTACTATTTCGAGTGCTTCATGTTCTACTATTTCTGAATCGGCCGTCTCTTCTCCCGCTATTGTCGTCAATAACAATCATAGCAATAATAATAATAATCATAGTAATAATAATAATAATAATAATAATCTTAACAACAACAATAACCACATCAGTAATTGTGGTAGTTATACTTACGATATTGATGGTGAGAATAATTATCACGACAACAACAACAACAACGGTGACATTTATTTATCCGGCAATAACAACATTCTTTCTACCGCTGCTACTCATTCTTCACCGCAACCATCAATCAATAATAATAACCAACACGTCAATTTTCGTTATCCAATAAATATATTACCTTCGATGGGAGTAGAAGACGGTTCAATCGACAAGAATTATTTATCTTCTTATTGTCAACCACAACTGCAGCCTCAGTCACAGCATTTGGATGATGTTTTTAGAATAAATGATAATCAAAGTATGGTTTTTTCTTAATTTTTTACCGTACATGAAATCCATTTGTTTATTAATCTCATAATGATCATTAAAAGGTCTTGGATATATAGCGTCAACTTCAATCATTCGTCCACCCGGTGGTGATCATTACAATAACCAATTATTTAATTTTGCATCATCTTCAGAACTGGAAGTTGACTCCAAACTACAACGAATTCCATGTCATGAGAATACAGTTGGGAGAGGAAGCTCACCCATGACAACATCACCAATATTCTCTTCTACGACCTCTGAATCTTGGATGTCAAGTAGTGATCAGGCCACCACGCCATCTCTCCCGCTATCCAATAATAATCATGATAATAATAATCACCACAACAATGGTGGAGATAAAAATACAAATAACAGCAACGACGAATACGCATTTCTAGATCAACTTCACATACACCAACAATACAACAATAACAGCATTGCCATGACTCCAGCTGGCAAACAATCAACCTATGATTATTATATAAGACATGAAAATACGTATGAAACGAATAACTTTGGTAGACGAGGCGACTTTGAAGATGAAAATGACGATGAAAATTCTCAATCCTTTCTATCCCCGTTGCTGCCAATCGAAGCTGTCGCGTGGTCTTCGATTGATCAAAATCTTGAGCATTTATTGGAAAGAGAAGAGAAAGAATTTGTCATCGATTTTAAACAAAAGCAGGAGAGTCACAATATTGTTCCTCAATATGAACTTAATACTCTTAAAAATAATAATGAGAAGATAGAGGATAACAATTCTGAAAGCCACCAAGAAGGACCAGACGATTATAATCGACCTGATAACCACGTCGATTCTAATAATACGTCTATCGAAGAAACTACAGCCGCTATGACCGGAATTCGTTATAGGGATCAACCTGAAGACAATGGCAATCGAAATGGCGATGAAACTACCATGGGACAAAATAATTCTTTCACAAAGGAACGAACGGAAACACAAAATTCTTGTTCTCTTCCTTGTCTACAACGAAATTATCCCTGAATACTGACAACAATGACATTTTATACTAATTGATTTAGCATATCTTGAAGTGTACATTTTATTGCATAGTGATAACGATAGAAGTCTAGGCGGATTATCATCAATATAGAATATTTAAAATTATTATTTATTATGCTTTAGTATATATAATTACTTAGTGGTTGGTGCTTGTAAAAACAAATAATTTTTTCTTATTGCTATAAATTTCACTTTAATGAAGCTCCGGTTGTTTCATTAATTTTTTATTGTAACGAAGTGGGGGTTTTTTTTTGGGAGAGCGGAGCACTTTGTTAAAGTGACCTTTGTATAGATATTATCATCATTTATTATTTTTATTAGCAAATGCGTTTTCGTTTACCAAATGTAGGCTATCTATCATTTATTGTTATAGCACTGATTTCATTCAAAAATATGACATCTATAATAATTATAAATTTGTTATAAAACTTAAAAAGCACACTATTTTTTACCACTTTTAGTGTCTCGAGATGCAAATACAGTAAGTATGAATATGATTTTTTTGTTTAAATTTTAATAAAAATTTAGACATTAAGATTTAACGTTAATTAGTTAAGATATAAAATAATTTTTTAAATAAATATAGTTTAGGGTCCTCTATAAAGATAGATCTAATTATCGTAGAATTTTTAGATCGCAACAATAAAAACTAATAATAGATTTGATGTCATATATATTTTTAAATATCAAATATGTCATAAAATTTTGAGTGGCGGCAGTGATTACATGTATTAATGCCCGATTATTCTATCATTATTGATAAGCAATTCAAATACTATTATGTCATACATGTTTTCATGGATCCGTGAAAAGTATATAAGGAAAAATAAGAATTTTCAAAAAGCTAATCTAATGAAACATCTACTCTAACGAATATATATATAAAAGCTATTTTTTTACAATTTATGATAAAAAAGCAAGCAAGTTTATGAGACTTTGTCAAGCTCCCAAACAGCGAACAAAAAACCCTTTGAATTCCTGGAACAGAACATAATCAGCTCCAACTCGCGATACACAAAATTGGTTTCAGGTGTCACACAATGGTTGTTTTGCGTCCTGAAACCTGTCGAATCGAGTTCCGGGCTCTTTGCTGTCAATTGGATTCTAATTTCAAAAGGATACAAATTATTTGCAAAGCGAAACAACAATAATAATAGCTTTGATTCTTACTATTTTGTTTGTTCCTTCGAAGCATCCCTTAATTTTTCGTTTTCATCTTTTTCTTTATCTAAAAGTGTGGACTTTCCCTTGATTTCAGACTCTTTACTTTGTACTTCCATTTGTAGGTTTTTGACTTTAGCATGGAGTATTTTTTTATACTCGTTATTTTTGTTTGTAATGTGAGCTTGTTCTTGACGTAATTGTGAATTCTCACTTTCCAAAGATTTGATCTTAGATTCGCAATTCTTCATAATTTCTTTGAATTTCGAGAGTTTATTCACCGTTTCACGCAATTCTTTAACTTCATTTGCAATGAAACAACACTCGCTTCATTTATTGAACTTGCTTTCTCTTTTACTTGGCCAACTTTGACAACACCTTGAGCTACGTTTCGTTTTCTTTAATTCTTTTTATTCATTTAACCGGGTATTTAGAAAAACTCATAATAAAAATGTTATGTGTGTTTAGTAATAAAACTTTTACGTGTGTTTAACAATAAAACTGCCACGGGCGTTCTGCCTCTTTCGCGCTAGGCAAGAAACGATCCATCGGGAGCCACCACGACATCTACGGAATCGTTCGTCGGGCAAGCAGCTTTATTGTCGTATTTCTCATCTAAAAAATCAACTGATATTACCAGTAATAAGTTTTGTAAAGATAGTTCTTACAATAATATACTTTAATATCATTATACAAGTCAATAAAATTACAAATACTAAAAAAGTATAATTAATTAGAGGATATCTAGAAGATGCTGTTGTCTTGTGATATGATGAAAGAGATAGAAATAATAATGTCTAACTAACTGCTTGAAATAATGATCAAGATATATTACATAGTTTTAGTCATCAATTTGTTGTATACTTTCAAACTAGAGAAAGAATTGATCAATAGTAAGATGAAATTAAAATCTTGTAACAGATAGTACTGTGAAAGAATATATAGATAAATTCATTAATTTACTTTATAAAGTAAATCCTAATAATAAATATTCAGAAGAATACAAAATCTATACTTATAGAAGAAAACTCAAATCAGAGATCAGAAAATAGATATAAATCTTAGTTAATAGAACTTTTCTAAATATAGTACAAGTCACCAAGAATATAGAAAAAGTAAATGCAGATATATCTATTTATGGATATTACCAATTCCAGATTCAGGATAATTCAATACTGAATGCTATTTTGATAGTACTTCAAGATCTTAACCAGTAAATAGAAAGTATTGAAACTAATAAAGAAATAAACTATAATAGAAATAACTTTGATTATCAGTCTAATAATCAAAATACCAAATCAGTTTCAACTTATTATAATTGTAATGAGCCAGATTATATCTATCTTAACTATTCTCAACTATAATTATATCAAAATAATTAAAAAAACTTCAGAAATAATGATCAAAGAATAAATAGAAATAATCAGCAATAAAATAATATGTTATCAAATCAGACAAATACTAACAACAATCAGATTACTAATAATAATCAAAATATATTATTAGCTCAAATACAAGCTCTTACTAATAGTATTTAGATATTAACTACCAAATCAGATAATATAAACTTGCTACTTGAAATACATGAATACTTGATTGCTGAAAGAAAGTCTAGAAATTTCAGAATTATTTCTTATGAAACCAGATCTATAAATCAATTTTATAAAGAAGCTATTGATAAAAATGAAAAACTAAATGATAATAAAGAAGATAAATAAGAAGATACTCCTGAAATTATTCTTAATTAGAATATGAATAATACTAAACTATTTAAAATTCTTAAAAAAGAACTTGTTAAGAAAACTATTTACAAGAAGAAAAGCAAAATTACTTTATTTATACTTGCTACTATAGCTAAATCTTATAATATTTTAAAAGATTTGGCTTAACAAAAAGCAAATATAACTATTATCTAACTTATTCAAATCTTATTTTCATAAAAAACTTAATTATCAAAAGGAATGTACTAAGTTATAGTACTTAAATAAAAAAGAAAAGAAGAGTATTACTTGAATAAAAACTTAAAATCACATTTACTTGATATGAAGTAAAAATTAAAAAGAATATTATTAATTTAATTATTAATACTAATACCTCTAAATATATTACTATATAACTTTATTAAAGATATAGAATTGAAAATATAATATAGTTCAAATATCTCTATATTTAATATAAATAAAGTATCTAAATAATCTCTTAGAACTATTAATAATCTACTTTTGAACATTAATAAAATTATAATTTCTATTAAAGTAGATATTACTAAAGTTAAAATATATTCAGTAATTATTAAAATAAACTTTTTGAACAAGATTAAAGTTAATATTAATATCAGAAAAGAATATTTCATCTTTGAATATAATAATTAAAAAGAAAAAGTACTAATTAAATTTATTTATAATGATAGAGAAGAACCAATATTTGATAAAATCAGTTCTGAAGAAAATAAATCTGATGAAGATTCTGAAAGTAAATTTAAAAAATAATACTTGAAAAAGAAAATTTTTTTTATATTATAACATGATAATTAAAATATTATGACTCCTAAATAACAAGAAGTTCAAGATGATGATAATATTAAAATCATTATTAAAGAAGTTTGAATCTTTATTGAGACTTCTAACTGAAATTTAAGAGATGTTAACTTTGAAGATATATCTTTTCAAATTATTTGAAGTATTAAAAGAATTCATAAAGTACAAGTCTATCAAGAAGAAATCAAAATTAGATAAAAGAAATATATCTAGAAAGATTTTAAATAACTTGATAAAAAGTTTACACAAAAATATAATTGAAATAATTAATAGTTATTTGACTGACAAGAATTAAATAGCTAATATTGATATTATAAAAATCTTTTTATATCTGATCACTAATATTATTGCTGTTATAATGATCTTACCAACTGGATAACTATCAAAATTCATAAATTCTTTCATGCTAAATTCAAGATAAATGAAAACTAGACTAATAAAATTGAATAAGCACTCTTTATTAATAAAAGAATCAAGAAAAGTTTTCAATTCACTTTACAATAAATTCATCCTAATTCTCAAATTGAAAGATACTGAGAATATGAAAAATATATTAATCAATATTATATTGAAATCTATTTCAAAATAAATAGAGAAAAGACAATTGCTTGTGATAATTATATCAGAGAAAAATAACTGAATCTTTCTACTTGCTCTTAATATAATAAACATAATGAATCTAGAGAAATATTTATTACTAAAAGTTATAAGAAAAGATAATTTTGTACTTATAAATATTAATGTATTTATTAGTTTAATTATGAAGAATAAAGAAAAAATATTAGAATAATTAATAAGCTTAAAGAATAAGAAATACTATTAGAAATTTATAATAAATATAATAAAATTGGCAAAGCAATTCTATCTTACTTTATGTATGAAGATGACTTTATTCATGAGATCATCTATAAGAGTTTTGTAAAAGTTTTTGTTGCTAAAATATTTCAATATATCTATTAATAACTTAGTTTTAATTAAAGATAACAACTTGCCTGCTTGAATTATATCAATGTAAAACTCTATCAAGAATATCTAATCTTCTATAATAATAAAATAATAATTATATATAATCTGAATCTCTGGCTAAAATAGATAAAGAAAAATATTTTATAACTTTGAAATCAATTCTAAAGAAGTAGTAACTAATGAATTAATTAAAGATATTCTTGAAAAATATATATATGATAGACTATATAATATTATATAGTTATAAATCTAAAGAAGATGTATTTAATAATTAATTTAAGTTTATATCATCCAAGTTATATTACTTAAACAAAAAAAAATTATTAAAAATTATTAATTAATTTTTACAGGAGCAAAAATTTTCTGAAGAAGAACTATATATTGTTACCTTTTTGGTGCGAGTTCTGAGATGAGGGCGAGTATTAAACCTAATATTACAAAAACACGTGATAAAAGCGACCACGTGTTTAAAGCGATGTTTGAGAGAGTCTTTAAAAGGTTTATTGACAAGAATATTTCTACTATTATTTCAAAGTTAATCTAAAGGTAGGTAATGATAGTATTCTTGTTGTAACT